CAATCCTTGGATTTTTACTGTGAGATTTTAAAATAAAGCAGATCTCACGCATCAGTAGTTCAGAGGAATGTGTAAAACAAGGAATATGCTCTCGTAAAAGTTGATGCTGCTTATGAACGTTGGGTCTGTTACAACACAGCATGTGAACCTCCCAGATTCAGGAACAGAAGAACTAAAAAAGTGAATTTATTACCATAGCTGCCATGAGATGCTTATAATTATAGATGCAGCTCTCTAATACTGTCTTTAGCAAATGTCTGCAAAGAAAGACACTGCCTATCAATGTATGTCTCTGATACTCCAGCTAAACCTCAGCTACTCACCGCACAGCAGCGCAGGGCACAGAGTCAGGGAGCAAGCAGCTAACAGCAAATTCAAGAGGGGATAAAGCAGAAATCGTCTCCTTCTTACAACTTTTTTGACCTCTTCCCTGTCAGCTGGTCTAATCAAACTGTAATCAATGATGTTCTCCCCATATGAAAGCTGTTAGGAAAGTAAGTTAACGGGCTCACTTGCAAGATTTAAAGCAGATGAAAGTTCTGAGTGGTTTAACAGTTTTCCGGGGGCTGCCGTGGAGGAGTAGCTGCAAAGGCACTGCAATGCAGCACAAGGCAGCTCGCAGACCACTGACACGGAGCATTTTGCAAAAATCTTAAGGTTAAGTTCTACCCTTTCACAGTGCTGCAGGGGGAAGGAACGTGAATGTTTGAGACTAAAATTTGCAATAAAGCTCTATCAGCTTTAGCACAGCCCCGTATTCTGTCTAGCCCCACTCCCAAGCTGTCTCTTTCAGGACAAATTTGCACTATTTCAACCAAAGTACACTTTACTTTCAAAATGTATTTCAGGTTTCACTGACAAAATGTTTTTCTTCTTAACCCCTTCCATACTGGGCTGTAATTTACAACTGGTGCCATTAAAATCATAATATGTCCTACGTAAAAACCTGGAAGTGTAAAAAGTATTTCCCTATGTGGTATATATTCCCATTTTAATTTTTAATTAATTGTGTAATAGTGACACTCTGTTGCATCCTAAGATTATTTTCCAGGCTCAGGTGTTTTTTTTTTTTTTTTTTTTTTCCCCCAGAAGGGAAGGGCCTGCTCACCAGCTCCATATTTTTACAATGTTTTAAAAGAGATCTGAGAGTTGCTAAGCTGGGAGGAGAGTTAAAATGCTTCCAAGAATATGAAAAATTGGAGAGCAAAGCTAAATATAAGTCATCAATTCCTCTTCTAATTTTGTTCTAAGTAGCTTTTGGTCCTAAAATTCCCTTTAATTTCATTTCAACCATGGGCAGAAGATGTGAGCTGCACACGAATACTGAAAATCATGTTTGGCTAGTGTACTTTGAACACGTGCATAAACCTCCATATGAAATACACCCACAATGATAGAGGACATGATGCTTAACATTGCTTGAACTCCGTTTGCACAATACGTGTGTACATAAGATAGAGTACACAGGTTATTTTCAGTTTTTAAAATAAAAGTAAGGAATGACTCCAAAAGCCCAGAGTTATGGCTGCTATTCCTAAAGCTATAAACACACACTCTCACTGTTGAGCTCTGATTTTTTAGTCTCTGTGATTTGTTTTCCTCTTGCTCCTAAAAATCTTCCCATATTTTTGTTCACAGAATTTGGTTTCTTTTTGGGCTTTCATACCTCTTTTTACTCTTCTATTTCTCAGAGAGATGAGGGAAATAAAGATGGTGAGTGAACCTGAGGAAAATAGGGATTGGAGAGCAGAAGAGCTGAGAAGTTGTTCTCCATCCTTCATACTACCCCTTCTATTTCCATTCCGCTCCTTCTCATGAAATCACTGCTTGTATCTTCCAGCCTCTCTTTGTTCACTGTATCTGTGCTCTTTTCAGAATTTTCTCTGATTTCCAAGACCGCTGTCATCGGAGGGACAGGCAGCATGGCTCCGATAAGCACCATCACCAACCACAAGTCTGACAGTATTCAAAAAATGTTGTGATGCTATCCTATTTTATTTGAGCTAGTTTCCACATTTGTTTATTCCAGACAGGATGAGAAAACAAAGTGCCATAGAATCAAGAGGAAAAGCTCTTCAAGTTGACGGCAAGCACTAGATTTTTTTGTGGGAGTTGCCATTCTCATGAGATTTCCTCCCAAGTCTACATAGAGAAAAGTGAGGAGAGTTCAAAGGAGGCTTAGAGGAACTTTTGACTGCTTGAAACAAGGAAAAGGAAATATAAACTATGAAAGCTGTTTCTATAATATTCACCTCATCTTTTTTCCCACAGCAAAGTATATTCTTTGTTTTTTGGAGACATTCCCAAATTAAGTGTGCCGTAAGCTCTTCTTTAATGCAGAAAAACTAAACTATTGGAACACAAGCTTTTTCTACTAACAATTTTAATTGCTAATCATCAGCTGGCTTATAGCATTGACTTGTACTTACGTCATGATCACTTAATATCTGAAATATCAATAGATAAAGGTTTCATTGAATGTTTTTGTTTGCAACAACATCTAAAGGCTCAATAAGCTGGAAAAGATTAAAAAGAAGGTACTGGTTAACATTTGTAGTGGCTATTCTTGGATGTCCCCCAAAAAATTGAAGTTGTAGTAACAATAACTCAGAGCTTCCAGTATGAAAATGGAAAAATCAAGCTACAAGCCTACTTTGCTGATGTACTTTCCTAGTTTTGGAAACACTAATTTAAAATTAGGAGCCCCTGAGGGAAGCACAGATGTAGCTTTAAGACTGTTTTATTAATATGTTCCAATAAATGCATCAAGATAAGATATGGTAAAGAAGAGATCAGTTATGAATCACAGAGAAAGGATAAAAAGAGTTGTGCAGGGTCTTTAGAAGAAAATAAATATTTATGCTGATATAGAGTGTTTGTCTTTCTGTGTGACCTGTAAATCCTTAAATAACTATCTGTGAAGGTTATTTAAACAACTCCTTTAAAACAGTTTCATCTTTCTTTGCTGTTAGGGATTTTTTAAGAAAGAAATATTTCATTTCACCTCTATATTTATGCAGTTTGCATTAACCAGCATCTCCCAGTAAAATGAAATGCTTCAGCAGTAAGAATACATGCTGGACAACTAGTGAATACTCTGATTACCTTAAAAGAGTCAATAATTTCCTATAAGGAGGCTGTTCTTCACCAGCTCCACTCTCTTCAGTGTGTTTTGAACTATCTGGGTGAAACAGAAAGCTGGCCGTGCTTCACAGACAAGTCACACAGTTGGGACTAGTCTGCCCTCAACAGGGGTTTTGGTGAATGGAGCAGTGTTATAGGAAAAGTGGAATAAATATGCAGTATAATACTTGACGGATTTCATCAGCATCATTCAAATTACATGTTCACCAAAACTGAATTTGACATGGTACAGAGCTGGTATAATGTAGGGGAAAGTATATCAACTAAAATTTCAAATGTCATAGGGAAAATCTGTCAAGCGATGTATTTTTTGTGTATTAAAAATGATGTAGAACAACTCTGAAATGCCAGTGATTGCTACAAGTATTCAGACACCATGGTGATAATTGCAGTATAAAATTGCCAGAGAGCAAACAAGACTGCTGGAACTAACGGGAACACGGTACTATTCAGAATCCAGTGTGGATAGCTATCTGTAATGGAATTGCTTTTCAACACTTTTTCTTTGAAATAACTCTATTACTTATGCATTTTTACATTAATATGTTCCATTTATTTAACTAAAGACAGGCACTTGCAATTTCATTTGCTCTTATCTGCCCATTTCTTAGTATGTCCTAATTTATTCTGTTTGGGGACTCAAATGCAGATAAACCAATAAATGGATGCATGATACCAGGTCTGAAGCACAATTGTATGTTTGACTAAAATCCCAGATGTTTTTCTCTTTGTGTGCTATCATCAGGATGCAGAGAAACAAAAGAAGGCATCACGTTGGATATATCCTGGCAGTACTAATTCATCTCCCCAGTGCCTCTGAAAAAACTGACTAACTGAACCTGTTATTAGAGCTGTTTTGTTTCACTTGAGACCTACATGTGTCCTAGGCTGGGCACAACCAAGCAAAATCAACAACTTGTGTTGACAGGTCATAGCAGGACTTGTGAATTGAGCTAGAAACTGTTTAGTGAAAACTGATAAAACAGTGCCAGCAAGTCTTCACAGACATCTGTATTTGATGAATTTGCCTGGAAAGAGTTTCAAAGTAACAACTACTGGAGGGGAAAACCACCCTTAGTTCCTACCAGAAAGTAGTATTCCTTTCACGAATTCCTTGAGAGCCTCCAATAGTCATTTGGGTCGTAGCTTGTGGACAATGAGGAGCTCTGCCACTTAACTCTGGGCTCATAAAATCAATCAATGCCCACTTCTTCCCACTGGAAAGAGCTTAAACTCTAGAAAGCTAAATATTAGACCCCAAAATCTGGATAAGGTACATCCCACCTTAAAAGTCTTATATTTTGCTGAATTTCCTGTTGATGCTTTTATTTAGAAAGCTGTCATTTGCTCTAGTAAGTGCTTGTTATCTGGGTCTAATTGCCCTGGAGGTACAAGGGCATCATCATCCAAAAGCAATAATGGGAAGCTCTATGCATTTGTCAGGAAGCATTTATCTTTGTTTAATTCTCATCTGACTGTCTGAAGCAACTTCAGATCCTCCTGGTGTTTCTGTCCCTTCTTAACTTATCTTTTGCTCTGTCTCCGGAAGAAGAACAGTGAAGAACATAAAATGAGCAATAGCGACAACAAAATGATTAAGTGTTGATTACTGTCTTACTATATGCACATTTAAAAATAATTCTTATAGTTGCATAAAATACTTCTAAAAGCAAAATTTGTGATAAACATACAGCCATTTCCTTGGGATAGAATTGCCACATGAATTTTCATTCCAGATGACTTCTGATGATAGCTGGGAAAAGCACTATCTACAGCAGCCTCATCCTGTTAAATGGGTGGCTTTAAAGCACTTCTTATCTTTTACCATATGTCTTTAAGTGTATTATTTTGCTTACCCTCTGGCTGGTATTGTGCTATGATTGTTACCGTCTGCCCTGCTCCTTTGAGCGCAGCTGCAGCCTGCTCATGGGTAGCACCTCGAAGATCGATACCGTTCACCTACAGAAGGAATGCAAACAACAACAGATCTGAGGAGTTTAACATTAGACAGAAAGACAGAAGTGGTTTTTGATTTTTTTTTTTTTTAAATATCTGATGGATGTAAAGGTCAGGTTGCCCAGATGCAAAAATTAAAGTACAAAATTAAAATTGCTGAGAGGTTGTTACCTAGGACTGGCCATAAGGAGCGGCACTAGTACTGCACATCACAGTTTATGTATGCTTATCCATGCATATTCTCTGACCACTGGGTTTTTTTTGGAGTTTCCTGCTTTACTGATTTTATATTTTTGGTTATCTCTTCATCAATCATTTTAATTTAATCTATAAGGTTTGAAAGATAAATTTTCTACAGTGCTTGAAGGTCACTGTAGGATATCACAGCCAAGGAAACTGCTCCTTCAGCTGGACTCTGCAAGCCCACTCTGCAGCATCAGGGGAACCTGGAGAAATATCGAGCGTCTCTAACAGAAGCTGCTGGTTGGAGAACTTCCAGGGGAGAAATCCCATCTACCCGCATCAGGGGAACCTGGAGAAATATCGAGCACCTCTAACAGAAGCTGCTGGTCGGAGAACTTCCAGGGGACAAATCCCATCTACCATTTTCTTTTCATGCAAACCCTCCTCCTATTGCCTAAGAAGATCCATGTATCCTGCACATGGCAGCAATGGAGTCGCCACCAGGCACATGGCTTGGCCACCTCTGGCTGTTTGACATTGACAGACCTTTCCATGGGGTTCCTCTGACTTAATGATTTTTTTTTTTGCATAAGCAGTGGAAGTGGAACAGAGAATAACAAAGTATGGAAACCACCAATAAAATTCATGGTCAGTTTCAGAAATCTTTTGATTTGTGTCTGTGATATTAAATGTTTTGTCAGCGGCATCCCAAGGAAGAGACAAAATTCATGTATAGAATTATTAACTGCTCCAGTGATTTGAATTTTGCTTTTCAATAGGAGTGTCACTGTCCGGCCATACTAAAGTATGTGGGATTTCTTTTATTTATTAATTTGTTAATTTATTTGACTTTCTTCACTTCTACAGGTTTCCACTTCATAATGTTCTAGTGAAGAACAGGAAACTTTTGACGTATAAACAACCTCAGCAGGACAGAAATCTATTTCTGATTTCTCACAAAAAGAAAAGGAAAAAATGAAAGGAAATAAAGTGTGGGTGGAGGAGAGAGAATAAGCCCATCAATTTCACAGCCAAACAGGCCAAAACACAACCCCCAAAGCGGGCTGAGAAGCAATAGAAACTTTTTTGGTGTTTTTTTTTTTTTTTATATCAAGTTCTAACATGGGCTGGCTAAGCACATACTGAAACTACGGATTTTATTTTATTTTGATTTTAACAACTTCTTAAGGATTACAAAAATAAATTTGATTCCATAGAACTTTACAAACAACAGCTGTTGAATCTGATGTGAATACATCTATTTTGATCACTTAGGTAGAAACTGGTCCATCTTAACTTGTCGTCTTTCACCAAATCTTAGAGAATGTGATGTTTTGGGCACACGTTTAATTATTGACTCATAGAATCATAGAATGGTTTGGGTCGGAAGGGACCTTTAAAGGTCACCTAGTCCAACCCCCCTGCATCTTCAAGGACATCTTCAACCAGATCAGGTTGCTCAGAGCCCTGTCCAACCTGACCTTGAATGTGTCCAGGGATGGGGCATCTACCAGCTCTCTGATCAACCTGTTACAATGTTTTACCATCCTCATAATAAAAAATTTCTTCCTTATTTGCATGACAAAATCTAGTCTTTACTAGTATGTGAACAGCATTTAGACTATTATTCTTAGAAAAACTGGTTTGTGATAGCAATAATACAAAATACAGGAGATCCCACAGTTTCTGATCCAGAAGGCTGCATTATGCTGTAAACTGTTGACTGTACACAGAAATGTAATTGTCTAGCTGAAGTTTCAGTTTTCTGAAAATATGATTCCACAAGAATAACATTTTTCCCAGTTCAAACTGTTTAGAAAAACATTTTTCCTCAATTAGGTTTTTGTTTTCTCTATGACAAGGAAGCAAACCCCATATTTTTTTCCCCAAACAACTCATCCTTCCTTCAAAAGCTTTTTCAGCTACTCAGTTTTATGATTGTTTAATATTTCACCCCATCTTATTCACAAAAATCAGCTCTCTCATCTACTCAGTTTTATGATTGTTTAATATTTCTCCCCATCTCATTCACAAAAATCACCTCTCTCAATTTCCCAAAAAATTAGCCTGAATTTCAACTGTCTGTATAATTCTAATATAATTCAAAATGATAGAAGATCTATAATTTTGGAGAAGCATGATTTGTTGACATCTTTCCATATTATACAAAAATAATTACACACCGGCTTATCTTTAGACTGAGGAAGCAAACAAGCAAATGTGGAACAAGCACACCAGAAGTACATAATCTATTCAAATCTCACCTTACTCATACCCCCATGCACACGAGACCCATTATATAATCACAATAATGATGTGAAAGAGGAAATTAATTATGTTACCTCACAGAAAAATTACTGTATATTTTTAGCTAATTTGTCCATATGTGCATTCTGCAGTGGAGAGTATGAATACCGTTATCGTGCTGGTAATGCCTGCTTGACCTGTGCATGTATCTCAGACCCTTTGGGGCAGCATATGAAGGGCCTGAAAGGCAGCATAGTACTGAACCACCATCATGTTATGTCACTTCTTTGCAAGGAGAGAAATCTCAGCAGACAGGAGGGAGGATGACTGGTAGAGTATACACACTGGCCAAATATTCTAAGGAGCTCTAAAGAAGTTTCTACAAGACAAAGACCTTGTAGAAGTGTAGGCTGGAAGACTACCATGCCTAAAGAAACATTCAAAGCAAATGTCGGTGACAGAACATAAAGCTTTATGAGAACAGGTATGTATGGATCCCTGTGTTACAGTCATACAGACACTTTACAACAAGAATTGTGTTCTCGTACTGCCAGGTATTAGTTTCTTTGGCTGATATATTTCCAAGCATTATATGCTGATAGATGCACTCTGATAACTTCCATATTTCTGTCATGTGAAGTGCACAAAATTCATGTTGTTTTTACATTTTCTGTCTGGGTTGTGTAAAGGGAAGTGAGTATCTTTATTCACAAGTAATGCTCTAATGGTCCTGAAAAGAAATTCTGAGCGTGAGGGAAATGTAGGGCAATAAACTTTATAATTTTTCTGACACAAATGATCTCAGTTGTCCCATCTTCCTGTTTGAAAGTGATGGTTAAAAAAATGAATAATGGAAGCTTTAAAAAAAAAAAAAAGCCAAAAGTTCAAATACTTCAATCAAAATTGTGTACAATGGCAAGACTAACAGAGACCCCTGGAAAAAAATCGCTGAAATTTGGTCTAGGAATGTAGTATCTCAGAAGGCAATAATTTGTTCTAAAGGAACAAATGAGAGAATCAGAGTTTTCAGTGCCGTAAAATCTAACACATATTAATGCACAGCACTAAAAATACCTGAAGATGAATATGGTGTCGGTTAGGACTTAGTTTGCAAACTCTGTGGAGAATACAAATTTCCCGAAAGGAGCACAATTTAGGCTACTGCTGTAGAAGAAAGAGGTGTTGTGCTCTACTTTCACTTAGTGATGGGGTTATGACACTGTTATGACCATGGGCACAGATGTACCAGCACTACAATTACTCATTAGCTCAGCATGGTAGTCACAGCTTTGGTACTGTGAAGGCCTGAGCAAAATTGTTAAGTTTAGGCAGCAAAATATCTCTGAAGAAGACAATTTTGAGGCCAAGTCACCTTTCTTTTAATAGAGCTTGGCTTTTATCTATGTGTTTTTCCCTTTCATAACTGGAGTCCTTGAGAAAGTACCGAGAAAGAAGCAACAGGATGAACTAAAGAAAAACTGAAAGAAACATTCCTGAATTCCTGAGCTCCTCTGTTGGCAAGATGGATATGGATGATGTCACCTGGTCAGTATTAGAAGGAGCAGGGAAAAAACAAAATAGGTATTTTTTTTTTAGACTTAAGCTTGAAGACTGTAGACTTCAGGAGAACACAAGCCTATCTTTAATATAGGAAAACATTATGGTGGCCTGTAAGAGTTGTGTTAACTGAACATGAAGCTTTAAAAATCATTAATAAATGTTCATATTCTCTCCAGATAGAAGGACAAGATATACTAAAAAATAAAGAAACTACATGCTTATTCCTCTTCCCCATCTGGAAAATAATAGTTCTATTTATAGGTGATTGAATACCTAAGATGTTATTAATACATCAAGAATATAAGATGGGAATTTCACTAAAGTTAAGTTACACAAGCATTTTTCGCTTTTCTACAGAACAACAAGAAGCCACTGAAATGGTAATTGAGTATTTCTTGCCCTTTGCACGCTTGTTCTGGAAGAAATTATTGCCCAAGGTGTGAACACAACACATTATAGTGAGTGAATCTCTCTGAAGTTAAGTTCACTTTTTGGCTAGGATATAGGCTGGGATGGATACTTGAGGAGGACTTACAGGTGAGTGGCTAAAATCAAAAGAGCAAGGAAAAGAAATGTCAGAGAGAAAATAACACATCAATTCTATCTTCTGCAGTTTTTTATCAAGATTATAAACAAGTTAGACAAAACAGATTAAGTAATGTTGAACAGTTAAATGACCCAACTAAACTAGGTTTCCAAAATAGTGATCTCCCTCTTGAAGATGCACAGCTGCAGAATAAAATAAAAAAATCGTTGCCAAATAGGTAGGTACAAGTCTGTTTGCATGCTATTTTGCTTACCAATACCTGACAGCTGTAGAATAACACACATTAAATTTAGAAAGGACTTAGCTTAGTCAACAAGAACAAGAATTCTGGGTATTATTTCCCAATATTTAAAAGCAAACGTAATCAAGTCCCAAATCTTCTAGTTGAAAACCAGCATATTCATGTGGCAATGTTAAATCTTGATGAAAGACACCATTAATTTATAAATTTTAATCAAGTTCTTAC